GAAGTCATCACACCATACAGTGCTTATCAGTTTGCTGATGAGGGTGACAGTGTGACACTCTCTTGTAGCTACACTGGTTCTGTTCAAGGTCTTCACTGGTATCGGCAATATGCAGGTTCACCACCACAGTTCCTCATAATGGATTCCTATGGGGCAGTTACAAAAGCTGATCCTCCAGTTGCTGGAGTCTCAATCCATCACAGAAAAGACAACAGTAGTGTGGATCTGAAGATCTCCTCTGCTGCTGTCACTGACTCCACTCTGTACTACTGTGCTCTGGAGCCCACAGTGAAAGGAAATCCACTGCATGCTGTACAAAAAGCTGTTTGAATAAGACTGAAAGAGAGAGGTGGGGATTGAGGGTTTATGTTTTTAACAACAAAAAAATCACACAGATACTTCTCATAAAGTTCTTAGATCCTTAAGAAACTGTCATACTGTGAAAATGTTCTGTGGCTGAAAGTGGAAGGTTATCACTTTTATGAGGACATTTTCATGAGGACAAATTTGAGCCCAACAATTAAATGACTGTAATTAGAAGTAAATGTCAATAAAAGTAACTCAAAAACATTTACCATTTTAGTTGGCACATTTTAAAGCACACAGTAAAGCAAATGGACAAAACATGCTGTTCTGAGCTCCAACAGAAGGGGGCAACAACATCTCACAAGCTGTTTTATTCACACCAAACAAGCGCCTGTCTATAAAAAACACATCTGAAAGCACAGAACGTTTCATATTTCACTAACCCACACCCATATTAATCATGCACAATAGAAGTTCACTCAGTCTCAGTGCTTTCATTCAACCATCAGCTACTCTCATATTTTTATTCATTTTATAAAGCCACATTCAGCATAATTTGGAATTAATAAATAAATTAATAACGATAATCTAATTAATCAATTTAATAAGTACTAGAAACTAAAAACCTGATCTTTAAAGTGGACTTCAGTTAAGATGGAGGAGAGGCAGATGATACTCATAACGCTCATCACAGTTTCAGGTAAATATACTTTTAATCACAATTACTT